GGCTATATTATAGTATAGAAAGTCAAGTCATTAGGCCCACCAAAGGGGGCATTTTGCCCCCTTTCATAAACTACGGTACTACAGCAAATCTTCTATAAATCCACGTAGTTCCAGTAGAAAGGGCGATTCCGCTTCGTCCACACACAAAAAAAGTAATGAAAGGGGTCATTTTGCCCCCATTCCTGTTTGACACGAGTGGTACTCGAGGATACACCCTCCAAAGAGGGCAAAATGCCCCCATCGACCACGAAAGCGTTAAAAATATTTGAGGAGTGCAGTTGCCACCTGACCTAGTAGGGAGCCCAACATTGCTCCAAAAGCGGCTCATTGTGAGATTGGTGATGCTTATTTTCCGACGGTTTTCTGCTAATGTCTTACTTTTTGGTCTGCCACCTCATTTATAGTCTGGTATTATGATTATGATTAGTTCCCTCCTTCCCCCCCCCCCCCCCCCCTCCTCCGTCCTCCCACCTAGCCACTTCAGGAGGTGGCTAATTTAAAGGAAGCAGTGTCTTCTTGACATTAACAAGATAAATTGAAGCATTTACAAGCCATCTTGGATCCCGTCGTTGCCGCATTAATGATGAAACGACATACCGCGGCAGCTCCTCTGCTACCCACCGGAGTGGCGAGTTACTATCTCATTTTCTACCGTTATATTAACAACAACAAAAATAGTTCGACACCAGTCATTCTTGTTCCCGGCCTCCGAAGCCATTTGAACTACGTATGGACGCGAGTAGCGGGATTGGTGGAGTTCTCTTTTGAGATGAGGACATGTGTGATAGACTCACCAAATCGCTTAGAGAAGATTTAGCGCTGGTGCGACTTCGAGGCCGCTAGTAGCGCGCCGATACGATGCCCTTCTTGCAGGCGCTTTAGTGGGTGATTACCGTGTATTGTCCTATTTGCTAAACTGCGTTAATCCAACCAATTATTGACCAATGATACCTTGGCAGATATCCCGGGGTTTTGTCGGAACTACACCAAACGTCGCAATCGATCGATAGATTTTACCGTGTTAGATTGCCTGTTTAGTGTTACAGTGCACCGGTGGGAGATAAATTCCCCCTCTCCGGCAAAAAGATACGTTTTCTCTTGTACTGTTACCGTTTACCGTGCACCGTTGGATGCTCTTAGAATGCTAACATTATAAATACAATTAAATTTACACACCTTTTCTCGAGCTCTGGATTTTTACAAGACGGACCACGTCGCGTATCAACAGCAAAAGCTTTTGTGGAGCGTGTGGCCTTGATCTCAATTTGAGATTTAACCCAGCTATATAACGTCGTCCAGTGAATGCTGTACGTTCTAGCTAGCTTTGCTGATATGCCTTGTGCATTTGCCTCATCAATAGGTTTTGCTTTCTCGCTATTTGAATGCGACAGAGACCGCACTATTAGGTTGCGCGCGTTCTGGTAGTGAAGGTTGGACATGGGCTCAGAGATTTTACAGACTATTGAGTTTTACAAATTTCTTAACAAGTACTTTTTTTGAACGAGGTTGCACGGACCTGCGTAATACGGTGTAGTATTAAACAAGGTACCACATTTTCTTACGTATTGCGGGGGGGGGGCTTTCCGTTGTCACAAGTAGGACATGCACCAGTTATCGTTAGTTATTAGAGCACTTAAGCAGTTTGAAAACGAAACGAATTCCTGAGAAAATCTGATAATTTCTGAGGCAGCGGCACCGGTTTCGTTTCGTTCCTCGTTGCCAAACACAAAACGAAACGGAATCAGAAGGCGAATTTCCCCCTCTGGCATGAAATCTCAAGGAGACGAGGCTCAGGCAGCGTCACCTCGGCGTCAAGTGACCCTGCTGCTTCATCTGGCTGCACAAGAATACTCCAAGGCGACTGGGAGGCCGCACACCGTCTCCATCGGCTCGCGCTAGCAGTGCTAAGCGACGCAAGCCCTCGCTATTCTATTCCTGGGGTCCGCTTTGATATCGAGGAGGTAACAGAGACACGTGCCTCTTCTTCTACCACTTCACGCACGCACAACTAAGACGTCTTCAGAAGGCTTTCCAGCTACCAGATGTGATTCGTACCGGGGGGCATTCACGCGCGAAATGCAGCGGTCTGGAAGGGCTGCGTATCACACTCCATCGCTTGGCGTATCCAAGTCGAAGGCTGTCCATCTCCGCTATCTATGGCCGAGCGCGCTGAGTAGCATATTTTACCATGTCCTCGAGCACATCAGCTCAAGGAGCGGGAGGCTCTTAGAGGGGAATCTGGATTTGATTAGCTCAAGGTTAGCGGAGTATAGCAGAGCAGTGCACGAGCTTGGAGCTGAGCTCGACTTTGTGTGGGGCTTTGTCGACGGAACAGTGAGGGGTACCTGCAGATCAACTGGGGCTGATGCGCAGCGAAGTGTTTACAACGGGCACAAGAGAAAACATGGGCTAAAAGTTGACTGAGCCAGCAAGAGAGGCTCCTCTCCAGACATGTGCAGCGATGCGTCTTCTGTGTCTCCACCTGCACGGAAGTCGTCATCAATTAGACCACTTAGCGAGTCGTCGCTCTCGATGCTGGCCATTGGCAAGAGGGAAAAACATGTGTAGTAGGAATGCTGCTCTGTTCTGGAATTCGTTTTCGCTGTGCACTGCTTAAGGTCTTTTTACACAGTCGGGACGAATCTCTGCGACGCCTTTTTTTTCGTTGCGAATATCGTTTTTGTCCTCTTGCTTAAGTACTCTATTGTACCCTAAAACGGTGTTCACCAAGGTAGAGGTTCGGATACTTGGGCGGTATTAGCACGCACTACGTATAGAGACAATTGTGATTTTGGACTCTGCTTCAGCCGGTAAAGTCTTCAAAGAGTTTTAGCCATCATGGAGACACTTTTAGTAGGTTAATTAGTAGCATATTTAGTTTAGTAGTGAGCAGCAACTCGTTATTAGTAGTATTTTAAGAAATTACATAGTGTGAAACCGAACACTCAAGAAATAGTCTTGGCACTAAGAGCTTAAAATCCCACTACTTCCAATCCCAGCGTGTACTGCAGCTGCCACCTCCATCTCCTTTGCAGGGGAGCAAATGGCTGCATCTTTGCCAGCAAGATCACAAACGCGGCGGGGTGCAGCGAGACTGGTGCTACGAAGCTGCCGGAGAGCTCTCAATTCTACAGCCCCGCCACGCCGACTTGAATGGATGGTGTAGGTTAGCCGCAGTAAAATATTTCCTTTCTTTGATGCTAGAAACAGCAGCAGAAGTATTCTGCAGCGTCGCTCAGCCTTCTTAGCCTTATATTTGTAATCCGCAGTGTAGTAAGCCGATATTTTTCGATTTTGAGATGTGAATATCATTTTGAAGAGTTTATGTAAGACACAGAGCTCAAAGTTCGGCTCCAGACCGCACTCCAAAACGTTGCTGTGATGAGGAATGCTGTTGTCGAGGACATCACAGCAGACGATATTTCTCTCCTAAAAAATTTACAAGGTGCGTACTCTATGAAGAGCTTATTGATAGTGTATTCGCTAGCGTGGTTATGTCTGTTGCACACCAGACGCGCGGTATTGAACGTGCTATCCCGAACGAAGACGCACTGTAGTTTCTTCGACTGTGCTACGAATGGGGAACGGATGCTGCATGGGAAATTGGTCTACAAGGGGGTTTCTTCTTTCACACAGATTTACCGTTGCTGCCCGGCTTATCGTTTGATCTGAACTCTATGACGGATTGTGACATGCAGAACACGTTTTTGCTTCGACCATCCTAATCATCACCGGCACGGTGTCTGCCCGTCCGCTACGAAATTCTACCAAAATATCATTGGCTACCAGCGGAGTGAAAGCGGTCCAGATTGGCTAGAAATTGTTTTTCGTTGCAGAGCAAAGCGAGGCGGCCAAAATCGGCACCTGGTGCAACCTTGCGGGTCCGCAGGGCCCACCTCGGCTCAAACTATCATCGAACCATGCGAGTAGTGCAGCGAGCCCGCGGCGAGCTGTACAGATGCATTGGCTACTAAGAATATTCATTCACCTCCACCTCGTAGCGGCGGCGCTGAGCTAGTTATAGAATGAAGTGACTGGTGGTTCTGTTTGAAATGCCTGCTGTTTTGGTAGCACCAGCTGATGGAGATCATTTTACTGCTGTGGAAGATGCATTGGACCGAATGACCTACCCCAGAAAGCTGGGCGATCTACAAATGCGTTACAACAGACGGGTTCCAGCGACTTTAATGAACTCAAATATTGGTACCCGATTGCAACATCAAAGCATATTCCATGATTTTGTTACAAGAGATGGGCAAATGTAACGTGCTTTTGTAAAACGGCGATAAAACCGCCCTTTAGAAGAAAATCGCATACCTTTGTACACTATAGTTTACTTAAGGGGTGCACGAAAATGCTAAGGCGCTTGCAAGTAACACAAGAAGGTGCAGAAACACTTGAACTTCTGTAGAAGGGCGAGGTTCCCGTCCTTTAGAGGCCAACTCTTACACTTCTTTCGAGCCTCTAAAAGGGCGATATTTGCGCAATTTTGCCACGAAAAGGTTGAGCCCCGAGTGTTTGGAGAAGTACGCACAGGCCTTCTGAAGGCTTTCAGTCCCTCGTCCTCGAGGATGGAGTATCATCGACGTCAGGAAGATTCAAAACTGTCGCCCAATGGATAACCTGCAGACTGAGTAGAGTGGTCACAACAAATATCATTGTTTTAAGTGAAGTAAGCTTTTTGGTTCATTAGTTCATCTTTTTGCTTAAGGCATCCCGCCCGATGTCGATTTTGCGTAGCTAGATTTCATGTGCTCGAGGGCTACCGCGCTCGAAGGGCTATTTCTTCTCTTCTCAGCTCCGTTTCCCCTCGTCTATTCGCAGCATCTTGAGCTAGCCATTTTATGTTCAAATTTTGGCATCTGTCTGTCATTACCTTCCTCATTGGCAAGGTCTGTGATGGCGTGTTGGTGTTGAGGGATGCGGTGTCGGCGTGCATGGGCTACCAGATAATCAGCGGCATGCCGAGAAGGTTGCCGCTCGCTATCTGACCGTTTGACGCCAGCATCAACCCCCCCCCCCGACCTCGGTGAGCGTACTATCAATCATCGCGCAAGCAGTAGTTTCCAGCAACTGGAACCCTCTTGTTGCAACTCCTCTGTATAACACTCGCCGAAACAAGCGCTTCTAACATTTTAGTCACCTAAAAAACCGATCGTCCAAGAAAGCTGTACGCAACGCTGTTGGTCACCAGGAATGCATTTGAACGTAACAGGATATTTACTGTGTTCAAAATACCAAATGTAGTACCGAATACAAATACGAAGCGTCTCTTAAACTCTCGACTATTGTGGTTTGTATGGTAGTCTGAAGACCTAACTATTCAAACAATAGACCACAGGCTAAAAAATAATTTATTCGTATATTATGGATATGTACCTTGGATCAGTTTTTTTTTTACGATTCAACGCTATATGGCGAAAACAACACAGTTTCTGATTTAAAAAGCAATAATAATTCTAAGCTGCGATTTTTTTTCAAATCTAACTCTATCACTTTCAATGCAACCAGCTTGCATCATTAATAATCCGATATATATAAGAAGATTGTAGCAGAGCGAAAAAAATCTATTTGCAACTAGTAAGAGGTCGTATTACCTTTAAAATATGTGAAATTCTCGAAATCTTAGCCACTGACTTGAGAGTGTCCTGAATGACAAGAACCACTTAGTCTCGATCACTACTCAATCCGAGAAAAGCAAGATGCCAAGCACCGCCACCCAAGCCTCAGAGCGCCTTAATCGTCAGTGGGAGGACGAGTCCTCCAACCTTGTCGCTAGCCACGGTGATGTTGCTTGCCATGTCGAGGATGAGGCGGCTGATGCTGGCTCTTCTATCCTCGCCGAGTATACTAGCTCGGGTGGTGACAACACCCTCAAGGGCATGACAAATTTCTCTGCCCCCGAGCTGGATGCGCTCTGGGCTCTTGTTGAGCGTAGTGTAATGATTGTGTGGACGCAAGGTCGCGGGGGTAAACCTTCGGTTTCGGGGAAGGACGCTTTGTTCATTACGCTGACCGTGTTGAAACACTTCGACACATGGCAGAAGCATGCGATTGATTTTAACATGGGCGTGTCAACGCTGGAGAACATGATGTATCGCGTGATCCAGACGGTCGAGCCTGTGTTGTATACCCAGCTGGTCAAGCGTGTCAAGATGTCGGAGCAGATGGAAGCTGGAAACACCTTCACAAACTACCCGCATGCTCTCTACCCTACGGACGTCAAATTCCAGCCAGTCTATCGACCATGCGGCCGCTTTACAGAACAGAAAGGTCTATTTCTCGGCCAAACGCCAGTTGTACGGCTTCAAGATTGAATGCTCGTCGCTCCACCTGGTGTTGCTGTTGACGTCTCTGCCCACGCGTCCGGATCAACGTCGGACCTCACGATGATGCTCGACCGACTCTCGATGCACCGCCAGATGCTACGCAAGGAGGACGGGTCGTCCCCTGAAATAGGAGCGGAGCCGACACAGTTTCCCAACATGTGGGCCATATTGGTCGACAAAGGGTATCAAGGGGCTGGACAAGTGCTTCGCACAATTCAACCCAAGAAGCAGCCTTGCGGTGGAACCCTCGACCGAGATGACATTGCCCGCAATAGGGCTGTTTCGGCGGATCGTGTTCTCGTTAAAAATTTCTTTGGACGGATGTGCATGCTCTGGAAAGCAACCTACGCGACCTTCAAGTAGAATGAGAACCGATTTGACAGTGTTGCTAGACTTTGCGCCGCCTTAACTAACTTCCATGTTGTCTTAATGCCACTGCGGGCTCGCGACCATTACGAAATGGTTCCCTCAAGGTATCAGTTTATGGGCGAGCGTGTCAGAACTCAGCGAGCAAGAGCCCAGGGACATTATCGTATGCGCCAGCAACTAGGATCCCGCCCAGCGCCGTACAACCCTCGTTTATCGGCGTCTCAGCGTGAGACCCAGTACGATTCGGACGACCAATTCTCATATGCTTTGTAGGACGGCTATTTTCAGCCCAGGTTTGCTTGCTTCTAGCTTTCCAAGTCAAAAAAACATTGCATTTTGGCTCTTACTCTACGCTTGACTTTCCAACTTGCCGTCAAAATGGATGTAATCAGACTCCGTGTAGCTAGACAGGATTAGGCAGCTACTTCATTGCGGTTAACAACCACGGAAGTCGTTTATGCCAGGTGCCCACTAATACCACACCACGCGCCCTCTCAAACGCCACAGTGCACTACAGGGGTTGGAATGTGACGTTCACAGTGCTTCGGTCCGCCATCCCCTTGGCTAATTGATTGCAAATTGGAAAATGAGGAGGCGTCTATTATACCTGAGGCGGCTGCACTTCAATACCACTTGATTTATATAAAGGCAGGGCCCATTTAATATTGGAGCCACCCGTAATCCTATGAAATTTAATTTTTAGGCCACAAATGTAGCCATCTGTTTTTTTTTTATAGGATCGTACTTATCACAGAAATAACATGCTGAGCCAAAATTTGTGGCTAGATGCAAATCTATTGGAAAAAAATACCAGTTGGAATGCGATATTCAAGTGTCTAGTATCCGAAAATGTCTGTTTCACGAAAAGCATTGAATTTGGATATAAATGATTTTTACACGAAATGGTTTACCATACGACAGGACAAATTTATTGAAAGTGTTATCAAATGAGCAAATAAACAATTTTTGAGCATGGGTAACGTGTTATGTTTAACGACACCCCGTTCATGAAGCACCCTTTCTCGTCTTGTAAATCTGCTCTAGGAGGGGCTCGAACCCTCGACCTGCGGCTCATAAGACCACCGCTCTAACCAACTGAGCTACAAGAGCAGTCAACTTCAACTTGAAATTTTCCATACTAAAATCAAGCATTATAACGGGATCCCGCAGCCGTTTCAAACTGGTTCAAATCCGAAATTAGCCCTACCCTCAACAAAAAAGAGATGTTCTGTTCCGCCAAACCACAGACGCTGCGACTCAGACTCAAAATATGAAAGGGGGGGGGGGGGGGGGGTCCCTCCTTCCCTTTCACATCTTGAGTCTGGGTCTGGGCAGCCTAAACCTCCAAAAAGCCATCAAATTTCTCACTTAGGTGCGATACCTCTCAAAAGAGATGACCTTCATTCCGTCTTGCACTTTAACCTCGACAGGTTTATTCCGCATTCCGCGCCCAACGAGCCTCCATCAACGACAGCAGCATTCGGGATGCCACGACGTGGAAAGGCTGTTAGAGATCATCGGTGCAGTTCTCCCAACTGGAGCAAACGAATGGGAGGTTGTGTTGCACCATTACGAGGACTACGCGAATGTGTTTGATCACGCGGAGCGAGAGCTTACGTCTCTGAAGTAAAAGTTTAGCGTCTTGCTGAACGTGAAGAAGCAGACTGGGGATGCTAGTTGCCCGCATAGTGTTCGCGTGGCGCGTCGCATTCAGCGATCTATCGAGGAGAGGGTGTAGCGTGGTTCGGGATGCAGATCTGCTCTTGTAAGGTAGTGCTGGCCCCTTTGTCGCTCACCCTTCTCTTGTTGACCCTCATGCGCGAGGGCTAGCATGAGAATGAACACGACGCCGTCTTCGCCGTCGTCGTTCATGCGCTTGGCGGATGCGGAACAGAGTGCAGGTCTTGGCGACGGGTGGACACTCAATTCTAGATTTAGAAAGGACTTCAAAATAAAAGTTTAGGCACCTCAGATAGGCTGCGGGAATCGCTCCATTGACATTTCCTCCAGATTATATTGTGCTTTTCATTTAGAAAAAAACAAACGAAACATGTTGTACCATGTAGGAGTGATTTTTGCAGGCGTTAGGATCTGAAATATATCATTTCTCATGCCCCCAATACTAACTCTGGAAGGGGATACCCCCGTCTCTCCCTCTCCAAATTCCAAGACCAACAAGTTTAGAGACATGCGAAGGACCAGCAGTTTAGAATAAGAACGTTACGGTGATTGCTCCATTGAAGAATGCTAGTAGCCAATCAGCGTCCATGAATATTTGGATGTGCATAGTTCCAGAAGCGTATAATGCCGCATCTCTATTCCACTGCAAATACTTAGCCAATCATGTATATTTATCCCAGGTCTAGATGCGCGAAACAACCAAATGTCGCGAGGTGCGTAAAAGGAGAGCTTAAATTCGTTCTACCAGAAAAGCTATTTTGGTCAATGAGGTCGTGCCATTTTGTGTGGAATGATTCTACGTGTGCTCCGTGAGAACCACTAACGGGTTTTATCGATTAAAGTCCTACACATTAATGCCCCGTATGGTTTTTGGCGCCCGATCAAAGAGATACAAGCCCTTTAAATGTTAGAAACCCGGTCTTATATTCGAGTATAATACGAGGCAAGTCCGACCAAATGAGTCCATCAAATTCGCTTATCGCACTTGTCGCTAGGTCATTTATTCCTATTCAAGCGTGATCAACGAAACATTTTCGACTATTGAATGGGAGTTGGATGCTGGAACGATCCGCAAATGGTGTCACGGACGTACCATCAAATGTTACGTGAATGCACCGATCGCCAAATTTGAGAAGCAAAATATTATTAGAATATCTCTTCGAATTGGTAGCCCCATTATTCAAATAGATGAGTTGTGAGAAGCTCAAAATATCAGAAAACCGAGCTATTCGGTGAAACCCGTTAACTGATCATATTGAACATCAAAAATATCAGAAACAGCGCATCATCTTTTTTTTTTTTAATTTAATGATGTTAAGAAGGGTCGCTAAATTAAAGAGCAAAGAGATAGAGATAGATAGATAGAGAGAGAGAGAGAGAGAGAGCAAACCCGCGGTCTCTCATCGGTCTCATTTGTTCTATGTGCATAGAAAACGCATGTGAATAGTATTATTTGTAAAACGAAAGTATGGCGTTAACCTCTTAGTTCCCGCATGTTGGACCGTATTCATAAGGGCATTAACCCTAGCTAACCTTTTTCGCAGCATCTATTTTATGTTGAAGGTCCAACATAAGCTATATTTACACTAGAAAATTGTAAAGGGCAAATTGATAAGACACCTCATAGTGAAAACAAGGCGAATCGGTGAGGGTAAATCGACCGGATGCACAGGCTTAGGGTCACGGGATCAGTGCATCGGGACAGAGGGCGATCACTACGAACGGGTGGCCACAAACTCCCTCATTCTTGAAAACGGCGAAGAGAGACGACAAGCAGAGCTCGGATGGTGACGACGGCGGGGAAAGCACCCCCAGGCAGGATCCTCAAGACCACGAATGCCAGTAACGCACAGCAGGAAATTCTTGCAACACTCAGCCAGCGACACCTACGGAAGCTCAGACGCAATCATGAGTTACCGGACGCTATTACGGCGGAGCCGAAGTAAACGAAGACCTCCGCACCACAAAGACAAAAGAAACGTGCCTCCAAGTACCAGATGAAGCTGACAACAAGCAGGAAACGGGGGTGGTCGTGTCGCCGTGGATGAAGGGCACCAACTTGAAGAAAACCCGGACGCTGCCGAGGGTGAACAAGGCGTGAAGAAGCGTCATCGGTCCTGTAAGGTGTGTGTGTGCCTATTACAAAGTGGAACCGCGTAAGTTCACAAAGTACTTCTGCCCGGAATGCTCTACTGGAAACAAACGGTACGTACATTTCGTTTGAAACAGATTCGTGTTAGACGTACTAACGATATTCTATTACAGCAATTACCTGTGCAACGTGGGCAGAGATACGTGCTTCCGTGTCTGGCATCTCGAATGGAACAACGGGAATGACATTCCCCGTGAGCTCGTGCGGAACCACAAGATGCGGGACCGTGCGCCAATCAAGCCTGGTAAGAAGCGCCGACGCCGCCAGCGGCTGTCAGGAGACCAGCCGAGTGTTGGAAGCGATGGTATTGAAGAGGGAGGCAAATGAGGAGCTGGTTTGTGATCAGCTGTTGTGGAAGTGCGGTTGGCGTGATCGAGTGGCTAGTTATGCAGAATGCAATTAATTGAAACAAACCGTTTTATTGGCTGAATGTGTCAATTGTATTGTTGCTGGACGCTTGCAATGCCCCAGAAATAGGCTCATCGATAAACAGGACTTGCTTTATGTTGAATTCGACGACATTAGAGATGCCAAAGACTGATTTCGCCTACATATCACCTCGTAATGTTGGATGGATATTGTGGCATTTCTCCACAAGGCGCCCTTTTCTTCATCCCCTATCCATCTCGTACTTAAGGATGACGTATACTAATTTTTATACATTTTTATGTAGGACCTCCAACATAAGAAAAAAGATTTGATGCCGGGAACTAAGGGGTTAATGGTTTTACTTCAATCTACTGTGCTGATGGGGTAAGTATAACCCTATACCGAGAATGTTGCCTAAACAATACTAAACAAATTTAGGTCATGTGTTTGTAAAAAAAAAAAAAACTCGTTTACATTTCATGCTACTTGCTCCTGTAACAAATCTTTGAAGCTAGTACTTCTCCGATTCTGAAAAGAATTTTACAGTTAGGTTTCTCATTAAAAAAGAAAAACACATGACTGATCGGCAAATGTCCTTTCTCTGATGTATATGGTTGGATCAGTCATCAGAACTAATTGGAATCCAATGAGAAAATACTACAGATAAGCGAACAAAAGAGTTCAATCCAGCAATATATGGCATGAACCAATCCGGTTTATGGTCATTTCAAACAGCCAATTAGCTTGACATACAAATCCTCTAATGTTCCATTTGAAATAAAACCTTGGCCCTCCTTGAAGTTATAGTTTAAATGACCGAATATTGACATTTATGGTGGGGAGGCACATTTAAGAAAAATGCTACTTGATAGCGCGAATAAATAGCTTTGCAATGAAGCTCATTCCAACCGCATTGAGCTGGAAGAACGGAAGTTACCACAGGGGCTAATTCTTAACGGATCGGACAAGTATGATGATTTGATCGGATACATGAATAGCACTTAATTAAAAACAACCGTGTTCGCACTCGAAGTTATTTTGGGAAATATCTACTCTGCTGGCGGCGTCAAAATTTACAAATGTCACTTTCACCACATCGTGCTTGCACCAGAAAACTATATTTACTTTATTAAAATAATAATTAATGTCATACTACTTCGGCTAGACGCTGGCTGTTCATCATCACCACGCTCGGCAGTATAAGAAAATAAACGACAGTTTATAGTTGTAAGTCTTAATGTGCACGGTGTCCTGGATGCTGTAGTGAGGCAAAAATAAGAATGACCACAAGCAATCCCAGGTTTTCGCTAAAGCATCCAGCGACTTCAAAAGATGGTCGCACTCTGCTTAGCCGCTGGGTTGATGCAAGTTGTTTTGTTTTTGCCACATGTAACAATAATATAGTCCATTGTGCCCTTGGTCACCAGATTCGGTGTTCAGTCAGCTCAAACGTGACAGAAGCAAGAGGAGTGTCCGCACGAGCGATCCACGGCCATGTACGCGGCAGCCACACGACTGCTGCGGCAGCTGCTGCAAAGCCGCCAGTTTCGAGTTCAACGTTGGCAGCGTGCAGCCACAGAAAAGATGTCCGTTGTGCAGGGCTCGGCTGGTATCTTGTTGGGTAACACCGGCCAGGCGAGACGACCACGACCTAGATGAAAAGGGGAGAACGCCAGCGCGATCTGCATCAGTACAAACAGATACAATCCATACCAAAATTTATCCGACCGGAGGACCTCTCCGACCGGTACCAAGAAAATGGTACACACTGCATAAAATTGTGCGGCGTGTCAAAACTTTTGACTGACAAGCACGGTAGTTGTTGAATGATTAGGGGAGATGTGAAAAGATGCGAAAGGTCAGAAAGTCTGTTTTAAGCCTAGTCTATAGGCGCAAGGAAATCGTCTGAAACGCTCTGTAGGCTGAGAAAATCAAGCAAAGGTAAAAACTATCAAATTGGGCCGGAGCCATGTGCTCTCGGCAAGGTAAATTGACAAATGAGTCCATGATTTTCGTGGCGGGGTCCACTATTAAGAGCATGCTCATGACCAGTCGCTGCTGTGTATGCCTATTGGTAGAAATATCTACCAATTAAAGATGTCCACGCATAAGTGGATAGACACGTGGCTAGCTGTTGGCCAGCAGCCACAGAAGGCCACAGTAGCTCTTCGGCTCGGCCGACGAAGAGGGGGAATTGCCAGTCGTCTTTTTTCAGGCCGAACCCCCCAGACCTCCCAGCCCGACTCCTGGCCGAACACGTCGCAGATCGGCCTTACGGATGGCCGCCTCCACCTCCACTCCCTCCCTCCGACGACGTAGCTCACCGGAAGAGCACAGGGCTTGCCCTGAGGTAGCTGGTTCAACTCCAGCCGCCGTCATCCCAGACGTGGAAGAGCGCCGCGTGGTGCAGGCATGAATCATCCCAGAGGTGGAAGCGCGCCGCGTCGTGCAGGGTGGTGCAGGCATGGATCGTGTACGGCATGCCGAGCTGCTGGGTCTTGTACGGCAGCAGCACGGCGCAGCTGCTGGAGACGCGTGATCTTGTCGTTGAGGGCGCCTCGCTGATATAGGTCGTGCAGGTGCTTGCGAACTGCCGTGGAACCGCGCGACTTGATCTCAAGCCTGCCGAGGAATGCCAGCACCGCAGCTTCAGCTTGCTTGCCGAGCGCGAGGACTTGATCGCGGTAATCGACAGCGCTTGGGTCCAGCTTTAGATCGTCAGCGACGAACAGCTTCATGAACGCCACGAGCTGTTTCGCGTTCGGGCGCTGGCGTTTGGGGGCATCAGCCAGTCCAAAGGGCTCCTGTGCGTACCACGCAAACCATGTCGCGTGAAGGTGAGTCACTGATGTCCGTCTGCGCTTGGGTTTCTCTTGTTCTTGGCTTGGCTCTTGCTGACGCTTCTTGTTCGTGTCTTGTGTTGTACCCCCTTCTTGCTTAGCCTCTATGACGTCCATGCGCTCATCTTGGCGCTTGATGTGCAACACTAACTGGTTAATCACACTGCGTTGGTGATCGATTATCTTGGACTCGTTGCTTGGTTCCTTGTGCATTGGTGTGGGTGGTTCTTTGCGTGGTGTTGGCGCTGGTTTCTTGTAGGTGGCGAGATGGGACGACCATGCCAGAAGTTCTGCGATCGCAGCCCCTGCGTGGACAACAGCCGTTTCCAAGCGCCTGACTGCAAGCCCACCGGAGCGAAGCGTTTTCAGCAGCGGGTAGTGCAGCACGAGGTACGCTGTAAGAACATCCGCCACTTTGGGACTGATGTTGTACTTGGAGCTGTCCATCTTGTAGCAGGTTGCGAACAGAAGCCGCTTTACACCTGCAATCTTCAGCCGCGTCTCGGCGTCAAACGCGTCCAAGTTCAGCAGGTCCACGTCGACGCCCGTGCCAAAAACGCTGAGCGCCTTGCCGATCATGTGGTCCTGTCTGCTCGTGTTGAAGATGTAATTAAACCCCTTGTTTGTCGTTGACATGTTCCAGGCGCCGCGGTCGAAGATCCAGCGTTCCGTGAGTCCGTCGCAGCCGTTGACGTGCTGCGCCCCACCGCGCCGAAAGGAATGGGATGTGAGCGGCTCAGTCACCCCAGCGGCAGAGGCTACGCGATCAAGTAGGCGATTGACGTGGGTGTAGATCGTCGGCACAGCTGCGGCGGGCATCGTCGAGCAATTGGCGCGCGTTGCGGTGGCGTCAAGCGCGGCGAATTCGCTTGGGTGGTTCAGGACCTCAAGCAGCGGCGTCGCCGGCGACAGGTTGACAGCGGCCTCGAGCGGAATCTCCGGCAAGTTGTCGATCAAGGCCGGTGTCGGTGCGGACTGCGTGATCAGGGCCATGGCAATCGCGTGAAGCGGGTACGTGACAAAGTCGGTGTCCGGGAAGAGCGAGAGCCCCTGCTCTTCGGACGTCTTCATTCGGATGAAGCGTACGAAGAACACGTCGGCCGCATCGACGGAAAGGTTCTGCTTGTGCACAAGCGACAGATCGGAAGCACGACCGAACAGGTGCCACATCAGACACAGTAAGGCAGCATCTTGGTAGTCGCTAGGGGAACATGCACTCTCATACAAATACAGCATCATTTTTTTTAAGTCACGCTTTGAGCATGGTGGTGCTTTGTTAACTACCTTTCCGTCTCGCTTCATGCAAAAGCGTTCGAGCGTCTTCCCCATGCTAAGCAACTTTGCTTCGACAATGTGCCGTTGCACGGGGAAGAGCTCAAAAAGCCACATCTTACTCTGTCTGTAATACTGCATGGAGGTGTTCCGGGCAAGTGGTTTGCCCTTCTTGCCCTCGTTAAACGCAAGATACATGCCAAACTTGTCTAACACAGACACCAAACAATTACCTGTACCATCCTGTTCAATGCATTGCTTAACATAGTCAAACTCAACATCTTCGCTCTTTACGAACGTCTTAAACACCTTGATGGCTGTTTGCTTGGCGCGCTTGTTGTTGCCAGGTTTTAGCTCGTCTAAGCCCATCCTGGTCGGATAGGACGGATGGACTGCAAATATGCAAGTGATATGCCTTTCACTTGGAGTTTGTAGACGGATATACATATTTTTCGTCCGCCTCCGACCCGATACGTCAGAATGGCTGGCGCAGAGGACCTACCACATCTTCCACATTCTGATTGGCTTAAAAGAAAAGATTGAAGAATTTCGATTGGGTCGAACTAATTACAAATCGCTAATTGGTCGATAATGAGCCCCCATGGCCCATACAAAAATTAAGTGAGGTCGGATTAGTGATTATATTCATCCATAACAGCGAAGGTCAGGAACCATGCCCAATTCCACGCCGAGCGCACTCACTATGAAACCCACGAATGGCGGCTCCAGCACCATATAGCGAGCCTTCCGGTAAAGCGAGTGCTTAACAATGGTCGGCGATATTGGATGGTGCGGCAGGCATCGGTCTCCACGCCAATGATGCGAGCACTGTCACTACGGTGACAATTGCGCTTATGGCTGCGACCAGCGAGAAGAACGCGCTTTCACTCGCACCTTCTGGATTTGTGGACGAAATATAATGTAGGGGACCCTTGGGCCAAACCTTGATTTTGCTTCATAATGGATCTTCCCCTGAACTTGAAAAAAATACCTCAAAACCTTATTATGGCCTAAGAGAGCTATTTTTGAGCCATCGCCGTCACAGCCTTCGTCTTTTTGATTATGAATCATGAAGTACTTTCTTCGTTGGGCTAGATTATTTGAGCCTTGGTTATAGCACAAACCACAGTTAAATGGGCGAAAAATGCGCCCTTACCGCAAAGGGCTAATTTCGGTGGAATTAGCTTTCTCGTCAGCTGGAATTGTGGCAGTAACGTCAGCCCGCCTTTTTCTGTGTTCCGGGACGACCCATTATTTTATACTATATTCTGGTAACATTTCCCACGAGGGGTCGTTGGTAAGACACCGCAAAAGGTGCATTTTGCCGTAGACGTTGTTGACCCATGACCGCGAGCTTTAACCCTTCCGTAATAAGGTTACCTAGTTATGCAATGCAAGCCCAAGATATTGTCTTGTCAATGGGTGCCTCATGCGCCTTAAACAAAATCACTGTACTTGATTCAGTACCTTCTCTTGTGACAAATTATTGACGATGATTTGTGGAAACACATGACTGCTGAATATATCTTAATTTAATTATTCTCAATGATTTCGAGCCGTTTCGTTTGTCGTATGTTTTATAGATTTAACAAAATCAGTTGAGCTTTTGCAAAAGGGCGTCTGAGGCGTCCTTTGAGGACCGCAGTGTATTCAGCTGGTACACTTCAAACTATATATCATCTAGGCGGCCAATACGCTCATGACTGTCCTACACACGCCCCGAGCACAGCGACTTAGGAACTTACACGACATTAGCACACCTCCAGGAGCGAAGAGCGCCAAGTACAATGAAATGCGTCACACTGTTTGCGGCATAATCGCCTAGGATTCCGAGCTCGTCTGATAGTTCTTCAAACTGTCATCGGGACGGGAAAACAACAAAGAAACCATAGCGAGAGATCACTACTCAGTAGGCAACATAGGCAATGCTTGAGGTTCTCGGGTTGCTACAAAATAGCGTTTCACAGGTATAGCGATATAAAACCAGACTCCGTAAAATATCTTGTACGCTCGCCAATTAGCTGTCTGACAAATGAGTGAAAAGTGCAAACACCAATGGGACAGAATGGTGTGCTGGCCTTTATTTAAGAAAGAGTAACGACGTCAAAATAAGTTACGTATACTGAGATCAACATATGGATTCGCGTTGGTTGCAGTTGCTAACATAATGTCCATCATATCTATCCTCATGTAGGCAATGCGGTTGCTCAGGTAAAGTAAACTCATCGCAATACAGAAGGTCTCGGCGCTGTCAATGCAAAGACGGGACAGTATTACAGTGCCATGTGCATTATGATTAATCTTCCAACACGCAACTAATACGTATCTTTGTATTTTGGTTTTATTTTAGTTCGCTCATAGTGTGGCGCTACATCACAACTTCGAGCAATAGTTTCGAATGACAGCAGCCCCCCCCCCCCACACACACAAGACCACAGTATCCCGCTGATCGCTTATGATTCCAACACCAATATTCTCAAGTGCAAAAGCAATCTTAGCCAGAAAACTCATCTTTCCCGGACCCGGAACGTAGAACAATGCATTCGACATCCCCGCGAGCTAGCACAGGCGAGAAAGTCACAGGATTGACCGCCAGACCACGACCGGCACGCAAGGACGCAAGCGACCTGTCCACTAGCGGTGATAAGTACACCAGCGATGCGAACGGTGACATCGACGAAAGAACGATTTTCAGTGATGCACAGGAGTGCACCATTTTTTAAAATAATGTACAGCTACGTACGGGACGCCACATTAGAGCTACTATTCCCTCTACATCCACTTGAAAGGGTTCCAGTTCGGCTGCATCCTCCGCGGTCAAAAGCTCTGACCACAGCCGCTTCAAACGCTGGGTAGCTACAGACAAAAAAAAAAACAATAAAATCAGTTTTAGCGCACCAGTGCAATTTTTTTTATTGAAAACAAAGGAAGTACGTACAGAGATAAACGATCGCTCTTCCAGCAGAATGTCAAAAAGGTCGGAGAAGTCAAGAAGTGTAAGACCGTCGGACTGTAGCTTCTAAGATCGATCCGACGCAGCGCAGCTTCAACAGCAGGTCCTCCAGAGTGCGATGAACGGACCTTGGCGGTAGAAGGTCCGTGATGTCGTCGTCGTCCGCAGATAGAAACTCTCGCAGACAATAGTAATAGCTATCTATCATAATGTTGATGACCAGTGGATACTGTATAAATGCCGACCAAAATAACAACTTGCTTTGCAACTACGTTTTGATTGGCTAATGTCAAATTATTAGTACTGTGGAAGATTATTACAGGCGAAGACTTGCATGGCCACCTTGCCTCCGGTCAGCACGCAGAGCAGTCAGGATGCTCGACACAGGGAGCTGCCTACCGTACACAGCGTAAATTTTATCTATCGCAGTATCACTAGTGTAACCCGAACAAATCAGTGTCGCCACGATATCCCAAAAGACCTTTCTCCGAGAAAATGCAAACTTGTTGGCACCTCGTTCGACCGGTGTAAAGTCCTTTGCTGGCTTGAGCCCACCATTACCAAACTGAAATTCGTGCCAGAGCTTTGGTCGCTTTGATAACCGTGCAACTCTCTTTTCCGGATAAACTACCACATGTGAAGGCGCGTCTAAGCCAGACCTCCTTAAAAAAGGCATATAGCGGAATGTGTTATATTAGCTTAATACAGGCACCATAGAAATCTTAATACCGGCACATCGGTGGTTTAAAGCTACCCTGCTACTTTCGCTCGCTTAGTTTGCTGAGTTGGTCGAACTGTTTAGCCTGGAATATACCCTCCAATGCCAATGACGTCAATGCAGTGCGACGGTCGTTCAGCTCCCACTTCAGTACCGAAAAGTCGGATTCGACTGACGCCGTGTTAGCAAATACAGTTGCCAAACCACAGCAGAATTGACGAAGGTGCGAATATGTTTTCATTTGCTGTGACAGAATCATATCTTTGGCTTGAATTCTCGTAAAAGTCACATTAACCACAGAGGTGATGCCGTAGACAACAGCAGCATTAACCCACCAAGATGAAGATGGTGAAGCGGACTGATGACCTTCAAAATGAGTATTAAGCTGGGCGTGATTCCGTAAGATCCATTCCAGTGCGTTGCCCATATAAAGCCATCTATTGGTTAGCTTCTTTGCAGCAGTGCCCATGTCTGCAATCAATAATTTCTGTCTGCGGAGATGGACGATAAGGTCTTTCGTATTTTTAACGAAGTTTCCGTCGTCTACAATTGCAAATGCTGCTTTCATGACGAGATCGATTTGATGCGCTGCACACCAGACGCGTAAAATTGGATGTGTAGCCTCGTTTTCCAGAAGAGTGACTACACCTGCATGGCGACCGGTCATGGTGTTCTCACCGTCGGAGGCAACTCCAATCATCTTGTCTCTCCATTGGCCATATAGAACATCAAGAGTTGTTGAAATCAGATTGAATTGCACGATTGCAGTGTGGCGCTCAAAGACAGGAATAGCAAGTAAGTGGATGTTAACTAGAACACCGTCAACAGCAAGCCTGAGACGTTGGTCCATGAACGAACGCTCGTAGTGTGTAGATATATCACTTGCAAAAGCAAATGCCCACATGTATGAATTGGCCATGAGCTCACCGATCCGCTGAAAAGAAATAGCAACGAGATACCTAGCGTAGGTACTCGCCAGCGTATCCGTCATCCCGTACAGTTTATTATTTCCCGTTGCTTGATAGTGCTGCTGGATAACGGTAGCAGCTTGACGAAATGATA